TCAATAATAAAATAGAAGATGAGCAGGCCATCGCCATTCAGCTTCAAAAGAAACTGAAGGAGCTTCAGGTAATAAATTTGTCACACCGTCTTCTTCAGAACACTTACTTGTAAGTAATGACAGCAATAGTAATAATTCTGCTTTAACAGGCCCGCATTGAGGAGCTGGAGGAAGAGCTGGAAGCAGAGCGAGCTGCTCGAGCCAAGGTGGAGAAGCAGAGAGCAGACTTGGCCAGAGAGCTGGAGGAGATCAGTGAGAGGCTGGAGGAGGCTGGAGGAGCAACAGCTGCCCAGATAGAGATGAACAAGAAGAGGGAGGCTGAGTTCCAGAAACTCCGCAGAGACCTTGAAGAGGCCACTCTGCTGCACGAAGCCACCGCTGCCACACTCAGGAAGAAACAGGCCGACAGTGTTGCTGACCTGGGAGAGCAGATTGACAACCTGCAGAGAGTCAAGCAGAAGCTGGAGAAGGAGAAGAGTGAGCTCAAACTGGAACTGGACGATATTGTCTCCAATATGGAACATATTGTGAAGACAAAGGTTGGTCAAGCAGATTTTCTGAATTTCTTGCTATTGTTGGTGTTTAACAGAAATGTACTTGGGATATGACAGATGCATTCAATATTTGAATTCTGATGTGATTTATTACATTTCAGACTAATCTAGAGAAAACATGCAGGACTGTGGAAGATCAAATGAATGAATACAAGACCAAGTTTGAGGAGGCTCAACGCTGCATCAATGACTTCAACATGCAGAAAGCAAAACTTCAAACGGAAAATGGTAGATTCTTTGTTTTAATACGAATGATTACAGTTGCTGTTCTTGATTTCAATGTGTAAAAATGCTAAAAACATGTAAAACATGACAAACATGTCAAAACCTGAAAAAAACTTTCTCACAGAAGTGAAAAAATGTTGGATTGAAATTTGAAAGTTTGTTGGATCTAGACACTAACATTCTGCATATATGAAATCACTAGGTGAGCTGTCAAGGCAACTGGAGGACAAGGATTCTCTAGTGTCTCAATTGACAAGAGGAAAAATGTCCTACACTCAGCAGATTGAAGATCTAAAGAGACAACTTGAAGAGGAGACCAAGGTGAATATTATGCTTTAGTGTCTTCTATCAGCAGCAGGAATTTTTTGTAAATTTCTGTATCTCATTCATAAAATTTTATTTAAATAGGCAAAGAGTGCTCTGGCTCATGCAGTGCAGTCTTCTCGTCATGACTGTGACCTGCTCAGGGAGCAGTATGAGGAGGAGCAGGAGGCCAAGGCTGAACTGCAGCGTTGCATGTCCAAAGCCAACTCTGAAGTGGCTCAGTGGAGAACTAAGTATGAAACTGATGCCATCCAGAGGACTGAGGAACTGGAAGAGGCAAAGTAAGACAGTCTGAGGTTTTCATTTATGCTCTATTATGTAATTCCTAAACAGACATTTCACTTCGTCTAGCAGATCAGCTTTTTGTTTGTGTTATGTTCCTACTAAAATGTAAGACGAACAAAAAGTTTGTCTGTTAGATGACTGAGCAACCAGTCGTAATGGTTGAATTCATTACAGTTCAATAATCCAGCAACTGCACGATTATTAAATGGTTTGATGATTTCTTAAGGAAAAAGCTGGCTCAGCGTCTGCAGGAGGCTGAGGAGGCTGTTGAGGCAGTGAATGCTAAATGCTCCTCTCTGGAGAAGACCAAACACCGACTGCAGAATGAGATTGAAGATCTCATGGTGGATGTAGAGAGGTCAAATGCTGCTGCTGCTGCTCTGGACAAGAAGCAAAGAAACTTTGACAAGGTGAACTGCAATGAAGTCTTTGTGATCAACATAAGTCCAACAAACATCAATTGGCAGTGTATCATCTGAACCTTTCATCCTTTAGTCCAAATAAGTATATCTAACATGTATGGGGAAAACAATGTTTAGAGTTAGTGTGAACTTTGTGTACTACATTTGACCACAGCTTTCAGTATTAGGAGAAATTGTTAAAACTCTCCAAGACAGTAGTCCTTTCTCCAGCCATCTGGCACATATACACTAATTGTTGGCCTTTCCTTCCACTGCAGGTTCTGTCTGAGTGGAAGCAGAAGTATGAGGAATCTCAATGTGAGCTGGAGAGCTCCCAGAAAGAGGCCAGGGCTCTGAGCACTGAGCTGTTCAAACTGAAGAACTCCTATGAAGAGTCTCTGGATCATCTGGAGACCTTGAAGCGAGAGAACAAGAACTTACAGGGTAAGATCTAACTACTAGGGTTTCTGCACAGGTTTCCACAGAAGTGCTTTTGTGAATCAATCTTAATCGCCTTGCAAAATGTCTCACAGAGGAGATTTCTGACCTTACTGAGCAACTTGGTGAGGGTGGAAAGAATATTCATGAACTGGAGAAACTGCGAAAACAACTGGAACAGGAGAAGAGTGAGATCCAGTCTGCTCTTGAAGAAGCTGAGGTACAGATCCTTGTTGATGAATAACAGATTTTAAAGTAAAATTGTCCGCGATTATGTATAATTCTGTACCCTCCTGTTCGCCAGGCCTCCCTGGAGCACGAAGAGGGTAAGATTCTCAGAGCCCAGCTTGAGTTCAATCAAATTAAAGCTGACATTGAGCGCAAACTGGCTGAGAAAGATGAGGAGATGGAGCAGAGCAAGAGGAACCTGCAGAGAACCGTTGACACCCTGCAGAGCTCTCTTGAAGCTGAATGTCGCAGCAGGAATGAGGCTCTGCGCTTGAAGAAGAAGATGGAAGGAGACCTCAATGAGATGGAGATCCAGCTGAGCCAGGCCAACAGACAGGCGGCGGAGGCCCAGAAACAACTCAAATCTATTCATGCACATCTGAAAGTAAGCTAGAAAAAGAGTCACTTTTGTAATGTTTCAGTTTTAAACTGATTCCAAACTTTAACGTGGTTAATGTCTTCCCATTAGGATTGCCAAATTCAGCTGGATGAGTCTGTCCGGGCCAATGATGATCTCAAAGAGAACATTGCCATTGTTGAGAGACGCAACAACCTGCTTCAGGCTGAACTGGAGGAACTCAGAGCTGCTCTGGAGCAAACTGAGAGAGGTCGCAAACTTGCTGAACAAGAGCTGCTGGATGTCAGTGAGAGGGTGCAGCTACTGCACTCACAGGTGAGACCAAATCATTTACTACAACTGCCACAGATGGTAAACTTATGTTCTTGAATATAAAGATCTCAAAAGCATTACTATTTCTCAAGTGCGGTGACACACAATCACACATCTCAAAAATTTGCAGAACACTGGGCTGATAAATCAGAAGAAGAAACTCGAGATTGACGCTTCCCAGCTTCAAACTGAAGTGGAGGAGGCAGTGCAGGAGTGCAGAAATGCTGAAGAGAAGGCCAAGAAGGCCATTACTGATGCAGCCATGATGGCAGAGGAGCTGAAGAAAGAGCAGGATACCAGCGCTCACCTGGAGCGTATGAAGAAGAACATGGAGCAAACCATCAAAGACCTGCAGCACCGTCTGGATGAAGCTGAACAGATCGCCATGAAGGGAGGAAAGAAGCAGGTGCAGAAGCTGGAGGCCAGGGTGAGTTTATTTCCTGTGTTTGGTACCAGGCATCATGTAGATATATAAAACCTTGTGAATCTTATTTTGGCCACGAGTAGCAGAAGTCCAAAACAAAGTGGCGGACCTGCAGCCCTGACATAATATCAGTTATAAATTTGTTATGACCAACTACTTCCTACTTGTACAGCTGACACAGATAATGTTCACAAACTACTGGCCCTTCATTGTATTTCAGCCTTTTAATCTAAGACTTTTTTCCACAGCTAGTCATTCATGCTACCGGTCTACTATCTGTGGCATTTATATTCAATATTGTTATTTCAATAAATGTTTACGTTAATTGAATAATGCATCTTTGGAGTTAGATCCTTGTGGACCTGTGAATTCACAGAAAATGTCTGACGTTTCAGGTGAGGGAGCTTGAGAATGAAGTGGAGTCAGAGCAGAAGAAGAGCAGCGAAGCTGTGAAGGGAGTTCGTAAATATGAGAGACGCATCAAGGAGCTCACATACCAGGTGTGTTTTTGTTGTTGTTTTTTAAACCATAACCTACACACACAGAAACATGTATTTTCAACGTATCCTACTCATAGGTGTCCTCTTTCCTTTCTCAAAAATTTATCTCTGCATCAATCAACAAGATTCTCAACATTCTGTTTATTGCACAATTTTTTTTTGTTGTTGTTGTTGGCAATATTGATCTACTAATTGAACAGAATGCTCCCTATTCCTTTAATTTATACAGACTGAGGAGGATCGCAAGAATATTGCACGTCTGCAGGATCTGGTGGACAAACTGCAGCTAAAAGTCAAAGCCTACAAGAGATCTGCAGAGGAAGCTGTAAGTGGGCTGGAAAAGTTGTTTCTCATTTTTAGTGGGTGTTCATGCTCTATGTGCTCTTTACTGTTTTTCTAAATTTACTTAGAATATCAACTGAGACTTAAAAGCAGTTTTAGGTTGATTTGGTTCATGGTTGCAGTTTGCAGTATATATTGTATGACACACAAACAGATTGGCTATGGCTACACTGTGTTGACTCCTATATCAAAAAATCATGTGATCTTAATACAGTTCCCCCAAGTTCATTGCATCTTGCAGCAACATAATATTGTGGTCTGTGTTCTTGCTATGTCCTGCAGGAAGAGCAGGCCAACACTCATCTGAGCAAGTTCCGTAAACTGCAGCATGAGCTGGACGAGGCTGAAGAGAGAGCCGACATCGCTGAGTCCCAGGTCAACAAGATGCGAGCCAAGAGCCGTGATGTGGGGTCGAAGGTAAGAAGCTCCTTTACATGTCGAACACTTCACATAACGTCCTCCTGTCTTCACAATATTGCAAACTAGTTTTCACTCATCACTGTTATTTTCATTTCTGTACAAACCATCTCAAGCAGTTTTACTTGTATTACATGTCTGTAATTAGAGAACAGTTCATAATTTTATTTATGAGTAAATAAATCAGACGAGTCTTTGTGAAGATATAGTTTATTTTGCGCTTTTATGAACTGCGTAAGTTGTATTAGTGCAATTTAGCAGGTTAGTGGTCATGCAGTTTTTGTCACATGACAGGTCTCTTACGATTTAAATAATGGCTATAACTGCAAAATGTTAATATTTTTAGTGTTTAGGTATTTTTTTATGACATTTTATGAAGTTATTAGTGAATTGACAGTTAAGATTTGAGGGGAGCAATGTGCGGAAAAAGATTTAAACCAGGGACAGCTCACAGTTAGCTGGTTGTCCATTGATTCATCTTGTTTACCAAAATAACTACATCTGAGTGATAGTTTGGGAGTTAAGACAGCGTTAAACAATTAAGTTCATTTTACCTAAATTATATACATAGTTAAATATAGAGATGCCAAGTAAAGGCTTGATTGATTGATTAATTTGTGTTAATATATGTTCTTGCATGTTGACTGGTCCAACTGTATTAACTTTCATGCATTAAGGGGGGCATGCTAATACGGAGCCTGTGTTGGTGTACTTACACATTTTTTAAAATCTTCTATTTTAAAAGATAAATGTCCTAAAGAAAATGTTGTCCCCACAATTCAGACTTGGGACCAGTTTTCAGTGCCTTTTATGTGATTTATAAAACAGCTTTTCACATTTAGTCCTACATTGTTTAGATTTGTCCAATTCCACTAATTCAACATTAACTTTCATTTTGACATAACTGTGTCGAAGCCAACATGCCACAGCAAAAGAACCTGTAAAAAAAAACAACATTATGAGTAATTTGCAGCACATTTCATAACATTATTTAGTTCTAGTGTACCCTTTTGTGTTACACTTGTTGAGTCTTGTTGGTCCGTTGTCACTAATCCGTCTCTCATTGTCTACTCTCTTGTTATTCTTCATCACAGAAAGGGCTAGATGAGGAGTGAAACTCACAGACGGCCACCTAAGACCTTTGGGATCTCCTGTGCTGTAGTCCCCTTTGTCTCCAAAGTAACTCTGTAGAATAAAGCAAAGTGCAATCAAATTAATGTGTAGAGTCCTCATTTATTTCAAGTAGGTAGAATGTTCACTTTAAAGGGCCTCTCCAGTCAGTAATTAAACCCCTAAAAACTCTTCTTTATGAAACATTGACTATCTGAGGCTTTTTGTTTGAGACTGTTACCAGTACATTGTAAATTCAAGTTGGAAATGTTCAGCCATACCATTGACTGTATATATAACTCATAATGCATCTTCCAGTGTATAAAAAACACCATATGGACATTCTGACAAGGTAAAAATTATAATTTTATTCCACCGGAGGAGGTCGTTGGAAATGCTGGAGGAACATTTTATAGTAGAGGTCAATCTGTGAAATATGTGAAAAATAAAGCACAAAACAAACAAAAGCACAAAAAACTCACACATATTTGCATTGGGTCAAAACCTTACCACATTAACATGCAGCCTATACTTTCAGCAGAGGGTCAGAGATAGAAAAAAGTGACTGACGCTAGCTGAGCCACTCCTGCCACCTTGTGCTGACAAGTGGTAACTGCACTCTGATTTTCAATCATTGCTGCAGCAATGTTTTGTGAAACGCTCACAAATAGAATAGAATAGAATGCCTTTATTGTCACTATACACATGTACAATGAGATTAAGAGCAGCTCCTTCAGTGCAACATAGAATAAAGAACAAAATAAAGAGCAAAAAAATAAAATAGATGAGATTTCAATATTAAAGCTTAACAGTTTCACAGCGTGTTCTTGGGATTGTAGTATTTCCCACCGTTGTCACTTTCTCGAGTTATTTTCAGCCCCAGACACACACTACATGGTGCAGAAATTTTAAAAAGAAAAGTACTTTTGTACTGTGCCAACGCTATAATAATTACTCTTATCATTTACTAATAGTTCCTACTTGATTCCTACTTGAATCAAAAATTTCTATCAAAAATAGATAGCTCAAAAAAGTGGTAAAGAGCAACTAGTCTCAAAAAAATGGTTTTAGTAGAAAGTAGCTCATTATATAGTCTAAATGCTGTTTAGACTATAAATAAAACGAGGCTTGTTTACATTGTAAATAATGAACTCAAGGAGGGAACAGGGGTTCTTTGCAATTCTACAGCAGTTAAATATCAGATGCAAGGAAACTGAAATTGTCTTTAAAACCCCACAATATTTGAACTCAGCTTGAAAACTTGAAATTTTCTGTGATAAAGTATCTTTTTCATGGCAAAAGTGCTTTTTGGAAGTCTTATTGTGCCCTGTGTCACAATTTTTAGACACTGCTGTCTAAAATTCGACCTCATTCCACCTTTTCTGGTATTAATATTCTTGAGAAAATGAGAATAGGTATTTATTAAAAATCTGGATATCAAGTGCAGCATGATGCAGCCTTTGTCATCGTCATACCAGAAGTCTTTTTTAAGGCTTGTCACTCCACTTAATAAACACTAGAAATAACACAACTTAAAAAAGAAATATGAAGTGTGATCGAAAGAGGGAGGGAAGAGGGAAGCATTCCAAAATAAAAGGACTCTATTTATACGCAAAAAAAAAATCATATCCCTGTCAGTGATATGAAGTAGTATTTCTATATTTACAAATGTAGTGTGACTCAGTGGAGACCTAAAGTAGCAAACACTTCACATTCAATGAGAACAGTTTTACAATCTCTATACTTAAACATGGGAACACAATTGACGGTAACATACCTGAAAAACCTATAGCTGAATGAAAAACTGGCTTTTTACCTCCGATAGATTATATGAAACAAAACATATGTCCAGTCGTGTATTGATAAACAAACAGGAGTTTAAATATCAAACAGACATTGTTCAGTCAAATTTCAGTGCTTTAATCTTTTCGTGTTTTGGTCTACAAATTTCAGTTCAAATCAGTGGTTTAGAAGCAAGTTGTAATTGACAAAAACAATATTAGCTACAAAAAAATGAAAGGAGGTTCAGTCTCATGTAAAGTATAACAGTGGAACACAGTACATGTCATTTTGCCTACGTTTCTCAGACTGTGACACGTACTAAAAACATTTCAATAATACGATAATGGATTAAAACACATTGCCTACCTGTACTGTGCACAATTTTGTAAAACAACATAACAGTCAGCAATATTGCATAGGTTAACATGTAGGTATAACAAGGTGTTTAATGTAATAAAACAGAAAGGATTTGATCAAAATGAGACAAGACAATACAAACAGATGAAAGGCTGACATTAAAACATTCTATTTAAGGACAAGAAATTCAGTTTCTAGCTGAATCTAAGACAGGCTTACCGTACCGTGTGCATCTGCAGCAGGTCAAAGGACTGAATCACACCTTCTTGCACTAGCTGTTAGAAGAAGTGAGGGGAAGGCAGGATACCAGCTTGACACCTGTCTGGCACCGAAGAAACTGACCTTGATCTCACAAAGCACCGTCCTTCAAAGCTTCTTGATATCTGCAGAGAGATTATACGATAATAAATTAATTATATAGTGTTATTCTTTGTCATCCACATTTTAACACTAACAAAACTATCTAAGTCGCAGTTTTGTTTGTCTTCCTGCCGACACTTTAAAGGCTTGACAGCCTTTTAATGCTGCCAGCTTTGTGCTGCAGGCTTCTGTGTGTCAACTGCTTAACATGAAGGCTTCTGATGTTTAGAAATGCTTCAGGATTATTTAGCAGACAGCAACACCAATAGCATATTAAGGTGACACCATTTGTTCTTTCCATCAAAGAACAATTGGTTTTACCTTAAGAGGAGCTATACAGCGAGATTAGGATGAGAGCCAGGAAGGGCCACAAAACGGATAAAGATTTCCCCGGAGACTGAGACAGCTGAGAATGAAAATGAGTCCAACAATGCAAAAGCAAATTCTGATCAGCTCTTTCAAGGTTCACTGGAACATTGTTCAGTACCACAGCGCAAAATAAAAAAAGCTGATTAAAGTAAAGGTCGTTGTCATTTACCGGGGTAAACCAAATTTGCATACATGCCTTCAGTTGCGGAGGGGTGATGTTGGAAAGCTGGCTAGGGTCAAACAACAAAATCCATTTTGTTTTTTATTCTTCCTCCTCACAGCAGCGTTCACTTAAACGTGTTGTCCTTCAGAAAAGGTTACGGTAGGTCAGAATGAAGTGAACTTTTCTACACTGCTTGGACTGAAATCCTGGTGCTACAGCATCAAATAATTGTATTTAAGAATGGAATAAAAACTATGAATCTTGCTGGTGATCCAGAATAAATGTATGTTTCAATATATACAGTATTTTCAGTGCCGTGCACCTGTTACTCCTCATCTATCATGACATCAGAGACTGCAGCTATATCGCCTGCCCTTCACAATCAGGGAGAAAAAATCCAGACAAGAATTTCACAGGGTTATCTTTATCCTCAAGGCCAAAGGAAAGGGAACAATGCCATGACGACACTGAGACAAAGGGTGTAGACCTTGCCAGACTGAACAGTGGTGAGTGATAATTTAAAGTCCCTGACCTTAGCTCTCCCTCAACAACAGCTGCAACACTTTATTGTCTCAGCAGTGACTCCAGAAATGCTTTTCACCGCCCTCGTCCCATGACTGACCTTTGCTTATCTTTATCTTTTTAATTAATAATCTTAACATGACCAACAAATCTAGAGCTGTTCTCAAAGCACAATGTTTGAAGAACAAATTAGACTAATTAGGCCATTATTCTTGCTTGCCTGCCATCGTTCTCTTTGGGATTTAGCGCAGAGAGACCGAATCCTCAGTGCTAATAGGAGAAAGGAAGAATCAAGGAAAGATGGTAGAGCCTCAGTTATGTTCTTTTCTCCAGACATATAAAGGGATTATTTGATACCCAGTCATGTTTTGAAAACTTTTTCTAACTTGCCTGTTGTGGGTGTCTCTATTTTCAGCTGCTACATGGCCACAACAAGCCCAGTTTCAAGTCTTAATCAGAGGTTAAAAAAGTTTAATATCTATAATAACAATAAAACTACAATATACAAATGAAATAGAAACCAAACTAATCTAAATATGAAAACTATTAAATCGCACTCAACAAATCTAACTGAATCCCGTCAGCAGCTTGTAAAAAATTGTACACACTGACCTGTTGTGATTTATATGAATAAAATAAGTGTCACTTGATATCAAGCCTGTCCCTGATCCCCACCTCTTGCCCTCCCCTTTCTTTGAACCGTGTATTGTCCTCCCCTTGTTTGTCACAAGGTGAAAGCAACAAATAGCAGCAGTACATCCTGCCCAATTAGGAGAACGCTTTTTTAATGTGGAACCTTTCTCCAAAAATTCATCCCATATTTGGTGGATAAACATCCTTTATTAATGGAGTGAGGGCTGCTGTCAGCACCAGTGCTCATCCCTTCACTTGATTTAAGGTTGAGAGTTCAAGGTAAGCAAAACATTTATATCAATGGTATGGGATAGAAATTTGCCGCAATTTAGTATTTAAATCAGATGTGTGTAATGTTTTCGTGATATACGTCACATTTGCTTTTGTTCTTGGCCGGAGACAACAAATGCTGGCAGAAGCAGTAATGGAATAACATTTTGTTTTGTCATCTGGTTTGAACAGCAAGACCCTGACTGACCCTGGTCATTCTTTTGGTTTCCAGCCAACCCGAGGTAAAAGTAATTTTTGCTTCTAACAGAACAGTTCAGAACTTCAGTTGGGATTTAAAACTCGTATTTATGGACAGCTGATATAATTTAATTTTTCATACATGAGTGAGATGTAAAGGGCATTTCCTATTAAAGTTATTTTGAGAGAGGGTTCCTTCTTCAAATTGAGGGACGAGGGTGTTGTAAGTGAAAAGACTGTGAAGCTCCTTAAGGCAAGTTTGTGATCTATAATATTAAGCCAAATAATTAACAATATGTGGACAAATCATGCATTGAGGGACATGTTATTCTTTTCAACTAGACTTTGATGTCACACTATAAATTCTCAACCCCGCCTTAATAAAAGCATATCTTCATTACTATCTACCTTGTCATTTTTGTACCTGTAAGGCAAAAATAATGCATGTAATATCAGTCCTTCACTACACATTCTCCGGTACTTTTCAATGTATGATTCCTCTTCATGTTCATGATATACTAATTCATTGAAGATTCAACATTTTACCAGGTTGAAAAATGGGGGACGCTGCCATGAGAGAGTTTGGGCTTGCTGCTACTTATCTGAGAAAGTCAGATAAGGAGCGTCTGGAGGCCCAGACTCGTCCATTTGACATGAAGAAGGAGTGTTTTGTTCCCGACCCTGAGGTGGAGTACGTCAAAGCAACCATCACTAGTCGTGATGGTGACAAAGTCACTGCAGACACTGAATTTGGAAAGGTAAACAAATTTAAGGTTCTGTGTGAGAGTGCTCACATGCAGGTATCTAGAGATGTTTGATTCAGTTTTGATCAGTGTTGCTGAAAAATGTATTTTCTTCGTTTCTAGAGTGTCACAGTGAAGGAGGTTGATGTGCACCCTCAGAACCCGCCAAAGTTTGATAAAATTGAAGACATGGCGATGTTCACCTTCCTCCATGAGCCCGCTGTGCTGTTTAACCTCA